TTATATATATCATACATTATATATATATTATATATATATATATTTTTTAGTAGATAAGTGTGAATGTGAGGGTATTTTTAAATACCCAAAATACCCTCACCTTCACACTTATGTTCAACCCTCTCCTTTTTTTTGGTGCCACGTGTCGAAATAAGAGTGAATTTTATTCACTCTTATTATATAGTAATATAATATATATAATGTAGGGATTATTATATAGTCTCTATCCAACTGATGTGGCATATTTAGTTTTTCGAGAGTCAAATCATTTTGAGTTTGATCGGTAATTGTGCATGAAATCTTCATTTTTTAAATGAAAATTTATATATTTATAATCTATGTAAATAAGTATTATAAGTCACAATAATTGACAATTCAAAATATTTCAAAGATATATGAAAAACTTACGGTCAAAGACAGACTAATTTGAATCTCGAAATTCAAAATATGTCACATAAATTAGAACAGAAGGAGTATTACTTATAGTACTTAAGAAATAGTTATATATGAATTATTTACTTTAACGATATTTTAGTTTTATTTTACATACTTTAACCCCCCCCTATTACTAATACACACATTTAATTAATTTCTTTTTTCGATTTTCTATTCTACATAAATAATATATAGATTTTTCACATAATCTAATTATAGAATGTTTAATATCATCAATCAAACGCGGCATAAAATAATTATTTTTCATAAGTTATTGCAACAAAAAAAAAGTAAAATCCCTCTAACCAAACATAATATTATCTCATCCATGATTTTGAGCTGGAATTTATTTTATTTATGAGCATGTTATAAAACTAAAATTATAATTTGGGATTAAATAATAATGATATTATTTAGTGAATATATAATTCTTGGTACATAGAGGTTATAAAACATGTAGTCATTTTTACACTACATACACTTTAACAAATTATTATTTCAATTTTAACTTTAATCTTAACAAAGACTTTGGAAAAAAGAGTTTCATGAAGAAGGGCATTTTTTGTCATTTGATTGTTTTACACCAAAGATTATCTTATCTCCATATTATTATCGTATAAAAATAACACCAAAATTATAATATACTAACCAATCCTGAAATTACTTATCTCAAAATAAAAGTTTCAACCAATATACAGTAAATAATTTCACACTTTTATTCTGAAATTATTATCCTTAGTCCTTATACTAACCGCAAAGTACAAATATGACATCTTTTCCTTAGAGTTAAATCACAAAATTTTAATTTTTTTTGGTTCAAACAAATTTAAAAACATTATTTCAATTTCACATAAAAGTTTAAATTTTGTAGTGAGACAAATTAGAATTGTTATCAAATCCTTTTTTGCTAGAATATTCAAAGAAGTCCTTCAATGTTGTTGCTCTATACTTTGGAGGATTGTCTTTTGACAATAACTCCTCAATTGGTCCATAAATTCTAGAAGATTCCAATAGCCCTGTGCTGAAGAAACTTGCTACTGATATTCTTGGACCAATTGTATTTGCCAACACTCTATGGTCTACGCTTTTATACTTGTCATTCGATATAAGCTGAAAAATCAAAAGTTGAACGAGACTTTATAAGTTAAAAATGACTTATTATAACTTATTCAAAGGAGATTTATATATTAATGCTATGAATTCCATCGATGATTATTAAAAAGGAGGGAGATGAGCGAGAAACACAACATTTGAAAACATAAAAAAATTAAAAAAAATAAAAAAAATATTAAATTTAATTGTGAAAAACACAATAGGATGTCACATGTATATAGGGTCATTTTTTCGTTTAAAAAATTAGTATTATAATTTTAACGTAAGAAATTAAAAATTAAATGAACACACATTAAAGCATGACAGTTCAATGTACAAAGTATTATGTGTTCAAACAAAGACCTAATAGGAATGCACCCTTAATTAAAGAAGTGTCATGTAAGCTATATTGCTTGGACGGCTCTCCAAACAAATTACCGCACCTATGTTGGATTCTCAAAATTAAGATGCATTATTATTGAGGGTCTGTCATGCATTTGGTAACATAATACACGCAGAACATCACGTAGGATGCAAAATGTCATGTAGGATATCACGTAGGACGTGTGTCTATTTGTGCAACTTTATACAAGTTTAAGTGTCTACTTGTGCACGCTCAAAATTGGAGGGCATAAATATGAGCTGAAACCAAGTTAAAGCGGACATATTTATGTGTTATGCCTTTTTTAAAAGCATGAGAAACATAAAATATAATCAATCAACTTTGACATATTCATCAATGATTGATTTTATAGCTCGAACCAGTAACTTATATAGGTCACACAAAGACAGTTTTACCTGAAGAATGTCGCCGATATTGATTATTAAAGCTCCATGAATAGGAGGAACATCAACCCATTGATTCTTGTGAAGAACTTGAAGTCCACCAATATCATCTTGCAAAAGTACTGTGAAAAAATCACTATCAGCATGTCTACTTGAGCCTAAGGCAAGTTCTGGTTGTGGACATTTAGGATAGTAATTACACAAAATGCCTAGTCCCTCAGCACATCCCATTTCTTTAAGATGGTTTTGTTTTAGACCAAGTCCTTCTGAAAATAATTCAACCAATGTGTATCCCAATTTCATCACATGATTTGAGTATTCAATTATAATTTCCCTGTAAAAAAAAGAAGATCAATTAAAATGGATTTATGTTATATTGGAAACAACTTCTTCTCTATCCTAATCTTGTTGGACATGGTTAATTATCTGGTATGGCCTACTGCTGACAAAAGATGACAAATATCTCGTGGGATTATTCAAAGTGCGCGAAAGATGATCTGGACACCACAATTTCTTTTTAAGCATTTCACTATAATGGTGTAATTTTCTTTGGAACCAACTTTTATATGTATACTAATGAATTATATAGCTACAACATAAAGTTGATCTTTAGCAATCATTAATTACGGCTATAGCTTAATTGCCGCTAAATATATTTTTTTAGTGACAATTAGCAATTTAAAACTCTTTATAAATGTCCCTAAAGCCTATAACGACATTGAATTCAATGACAATTAACTAATGCTGTAAAAACTTTAGCACTCTTTGTTAATGTACATATATATTTTATTGACACTAAAAGTTGTGTTTGTTGTTGTGAGCCTCTATAACAACATCGCGCTATAACAATAAAAAAAATACATGTTGGTGGTGGGAGGTGACATGTATATATCCTGTGAAATTAATCGAGGTGTGCGAAAACTAGATCAAACACCACGACTATCAAAGCAAAAAAAAAACATTTCACTATAACGGCCTAATTTTCTTTGGAAGGTGACAAAAATTTCGTGGAATTAATCAAAGTGTACAAAAGTTGGCTCGAACGCCACGATTATAAAAAAAAATCACTATTATAACATGAGCCTAAGTTTCTTTGGAACCGACTTTCATATGTATAGAAACTATATAGCCTCTATAACAACATTATCCCGCTATAACAATAAAAAAAGAATATTCAGACAAACAATGTTCGATATAAGTAAATTACCTGCATGTCTCAGGCAATTCATCAGGCTTAGCAGGATTAGGAGCCATGACAGAGTAAAGTGAGTCTCTCCAATCTGCTGCAAAAGATTTCTCACTAAACAACTCAAAATTACAATTATACATAACCTTCCTCGCAACATCTCGACTATAATACGGTTTTTTAACGTCGATAGCTTGCTCGTGAAAACGTCGTGTACCACGCAACATTTCGTCTAGGACGGGGATCGGAATACCATGATTGATCACTTGGAAAAAACCCCATGTCTCTGATGCTTCTTGAATTTGTTTCACTATTTCTTTGTTGTTAATGTTGATGTTTTGAAGGTCTATTAAAGGGAAAATGAAATTTGAATTTTTGGGAATTTTTTCTAAGGAATCATGTGGATGGATGAATATTTGGGGTAGTTTAGTAATTCCACCATCAATAAGTCCTTTGACACCTCCTTTTGTGTCATCAAAGGCTTTTAGTTCACTAATTTTATCATATTTTTGTTGTGTGTTATTGGAGGTTGCCATCTAGTTTTTGGAGGTAGTGCGGTGAGGTGATCGAAATTTCTCTACTTTAAATAGAGCAGAGATTTTAGCTTTGAATTTCTGAATCTTTATAAAGATCTAAAACAGATACATTTTTTAAATTATACTAAAAAAATAGGTGAAATAATTAAAAATTCTTTTTTTTAAAGTAGATTTCGGATTTCGAGCTGTGGAATTATGGGAAAGTACAACGTGAGAAGGACCATGGAATTGCTAAAAGCTCTTAATTTCTATTTAAAATATATGGTTGAAATTAAAAAGCATATCTTATTTTTTTAGTCATTATTTTCCCATAACTTTGCCTTATTCCTTAATTAATTGAGTAATGATTTTAAAAAAACGCATCGCTGAACTATCCTTTTTAAATTTTTTATTATTATTTATTATATTTTAAATTATCAACTATTTCATTTTTTTATTTGAATTATTACTATCTATGCATTAAAACACACCTAGCTAGTTGAGTAGATGTAAATAGTTTAGGTATAATTTTTTTTATCATAATCAGTTTTGAGTTGTGTTTTAATATATAAATTATGATAGCTCAGGTGGAAAAAAGAAATAACTAATAATTGGCATGCATAGTCAATTTCGATGTATGTATAGAGAGAGAGAGTTTTTAACTATTAATTAATCTTATTAATATTAATACATAGATGGTGATGGCTAGCTAATTCAACTAAAGAAAAGGAAATAACTAAGGTATAAAACTCACAAAAATTAATTATTCAGATGTATTTTTAATTATTAATTAATCTTATTAATATTAATGAAGTAATTTCTTTCCTTTTTTTTTTTAATAATAAAATCAAATATAATACTATGGTCAACTAGGCAATAAATCAAAGCATGTGACATGATAACATGACTATTGCAGATTCACAAATATATGAATCTGCAATATATAGTAATGCACATCCCATAAAATCTGCCTTAAAAGAGGATTTTGTTTAAATAATAATATTTATTATATTCTGATATCTTTGATAATTACAATCTTGATTTTTTTCTATAAAAATATAATGATATTGGGTGATTCATAATTTTAGGAAAATAATTTTTGAGTAGAATAGGGATATTTAAGACAATTCACATGATCTTTGTGATAGATAGAACTATAATATAATCTAAGATAGTATATTTGAATACTTATATAATTATTATAGTACTTATAATCTTAAATATACCATGATATTTCTATATCTATATATATAAAAAAGAATGTTATTATAAGGGTAAAACTAAATACTTAAAATTAAAGAAATTTTCTAAAAAAATAAAACTATGTCATTTATAAGAACATATTTTTTTTAAAAAAGTTATATAAAATGCAACAATAATTTTTCTTATTTTTGATGTTATTTTTTAGAGCCATTGATTCATATAAATGGTTACCCTTTAATTAAGGGACTATTTTCTAAGAGAAACTCACAAAGTATAACCAACTTCTTTTTATATTCAACATTTTTTTTCATTAATTCCAATTATTTCATATTCATCAATATATATATGTTCTTTACTTTTTAAATTGAAATTGATATACTTTTTTGTAGATTATCAGAGTTAAAAAAAAAAAAAAAAGATGGCACAAATGGTAAAACCAGCTGATCAAAAGTTCCCACAACATGATCAAAACATGCAAGATGGCCATGTAAATAAAATACAAGTAAGATCCATTTTAATTCCATGTCTATTTACTCATATCACACTTATGAAATTACACCGAATCTTATTCATATTGTTGATTCCCCC